CCATCCTGATACCTTCCTGTCTCTGTGCCATCCTCTTCAGCCCGATCCACAAAGGAACCCGTCATCACGTGAGCCCGATCCCTTCCATTCCTCAGACTGTTGCTCTAACCCGTTGGCTCTCCATATCTCTCTCCCTCTCCCAGCACCTGTTCAATAAAGCTCACAGTTTACTTTACCTCTCCGTCCCTGGTCTCCTTCTGTACTGTGACAATTATGCTGTCATGACTTTATACTTGAAGTCTCAATTAATTTGTGTTTTTTCCCAGGGGAGCGTTTTCAGTGGTGCGACGATGTGTGAAGTTGAGCATGATCCGCCGTGGCCTCCCAAACTGCCTGCTCCGCCATGGCTCCCGGAGCTCCCTGATCCGCCAGGGAGGCTCTCCTTATCTCCATCTTGTTCCAGTCCGGCACTAGCCTCCAGGGCGCCCGCCACCCCTCCCCGGTGGTATGTTACGGTGCGGGACGCGCCTTCCGGGAGGGGGAGGTAATGTCAGGGATCATCAACACCAAAAAACTCTCCGCGAGAGGTTAGTCAATTCCTGAAGATGTTCTGAAACATTCAAAGTTTTTTTTTTTTTTTCATAACTATAACGGAGGGGTTTTAATTCTAGGAACAATTTTACAACTAACATACAACGTGAACATGTGAAACATGGTCATTTAAAGTTGCAATGTTACCAAAGTAACGAAAGATAATTTCTTCTTTATTGTGACATACTTCCGAGTGAGACGGATTATTTAAAAAGAAAAAAATGTATTATGGGAACTTGGTTCTATCCATTGGTTATGACATTGTGATTAAAAAGGTAAAAAAAAAAATCTTAAAAATATGAAACGTGCATGAATTGTTCGCAGTAAGTTCATTAAGATGCATTTAAAAAAACAGATGATGAATTTCCATTTCATTCCAAGTTCACTATGTGCAGAGATGGTAGATGGTAATAGCATGGTACTAGTGTTAATTTCGTAAACGAAACCTATGACAAAAAATGTTTGTTGACGAGCTTTTTTTCCATGACTGAAACAAGACGATGACGAGACGACAATAAGGTCAATAAATGATAACTGTGACTGTATCAACATGGAAAATATTCTTGCGGACTGCTGTACACATCTTTACTGCATGAGCTTTCATGTGTACGGTTGCCAGATATCAAGAGTTCAAATCCTCAACTCAGAGCTTCTTTGTTAAAAGGATACATTTTCTGCCCAGTGTTTTGCTTAATTATTGCAATCTGGCAACCATGCGCACGCACTCGCATGCACTTCATTGCAGAAGCGCCGATTATGCTCTGAAAACACTGACAAACAAGTAAGTTGGAATTTAGCGATCTCTGTTCATCTTAAATGAAAGTGTCATTCAGACGGTCTGTGTCCTCTCATGAGATCTCGATAATACTGCTTTCACTGTTATAATATTATTTTTTGTTTGTTTTAACCGTTTTCAAAATGTAGACAGAGAGAGTGCATAAGTCTTTGATATGAATTTATATAATAAATAGCCTATTATAAATCAGTACAATAGATGAGGTAAAATAAACCATGTGTACGAATCGAAATTCTGTTGATTTGTGCTAATTGGTAAAAGTGCAATAACTGAAATGCAAAAATAAATTTCTCAAATGACACCAATCAATTTAGGCAAAAATAAATTTTATCAGTTTAAACATTATACAGCATGATGAAAATGTAACTAAGATTTCACTGACTAAAATGCTCAGACATTTAGTCGACTAAAATTTGAATAAACAAAAACAGGACAAAGTTGACTAAACATGATAATAACTCGCGTATATTTGACAAGACTAATTTGAAAAGACTACGACTAAGGCTAAATTAAAAAATGGCGGACAAATTAACACTAGGCCTACATGGTACTTTTATATATAGTATGGTACTGAAAAATGACCATTTTCATGTACTGTAGTATTTAAGTCAAAGGATACCATGGTACCATTTCCAAAAAAACATGTTAGGATTCCTTTGTAAATGCTTAGAAATTCAATAACAGAACACTCAAAGTTCCACAACATGCTCATAACTATATTTAAATCTGCTTCCATGGTTACTATCAGCGCCAATAGCAGATCCAAACACCATGGCAATAAGACACCAATGAAATGGCAGAAAGAGATTTTCAGTTTTTACGGCATCCCGCTGTTGAAGGGTGTAAGTCCTCCCTCTTGAAACTTGAAGCCAGCAGTTGCTTTGCCAAAGTGTCATCCTCATCATGTCCCCTCGGCTGTGTGATCACTGTGGTGAGAATGTGTAATGTGGAGAACAAGCACTTGACATGTATTTGATTCCACAGGCACTGAAAACCATTTTAAAATAGGCCCAACAGCCCTCTAAATACAGCCTGTGTGGAGAGACACGTTGCTTTCTGATTGCGTGGTCCGAGGAAATCAAATTAAGGTTGGGAATGTTGAGTTGTAAGATTAGTCTTTTAGTTGTTAACCTTCTTGATGCAGACAAGACTGGCCATTATAAAACCTGTCAAGATTATGTCCAGGTCATATTTTCTTTTGTGTGTGTGTGTGTGCGCTTTTAAAAAAAATTTTTTTACACTTTGACATGAATTCATATACACTACCATCCGAAAGGTGGAAAGCTTTCATGAGCTTCACCCTAGCCTTTTTCTTTTATTGTAGCTTTGTGTTATTGTACTGTTTTGTCACAAAAAGCAAATATAGGATGATAAATGTTTACAGTGTTCAAATGGACATTTATTTGACAAAATCTAGTGTTGCGGTGGGTCGTGTAGATTAGGAGTGACTGTCTTTAGGCTGAGAGTTACTCTGAGGAGAGAGAAACAATATGATCTGTCAAGGGGTTAGAAGGAGGGTGGGCATGAGAGAGGGAATGTGACCTAGATATACAGAAAGGGAGAGAGAGAAGGAATCATCATGAATGACTGTTTGAGAGAAAGACACAAAGAGAAGGCTGACAGTGAAGGCACCTTTGGCACTTGGCAGCTGTGTGTGTGTGTGTGTGTGCGCGCATGTGAAAGAGAGGCAGAGAATTAGTCTTTGATTAGTCTAGTTTATCTAGATTTTTGCACTAATAATTTTTTGCTTTTATGTTTTTTTAGCACGCTATAGTTGTGCAATCATCTCGGAAATAGTTGGGTCTTTACAAACATCATCACTGTATCCTATAATTACGAATTCAGATGGTTGTGATCGCACTTTTTTTTTTTTCGAGGATATTGCCACTAGCATTGCATTATAAAAATGCTGTTATTTAAAAGTACATCTGCTGTGCTCTGTCCAAATTTTTGCAAGAGTGTGTCTTACAGACGTGTCCATTGTGAAGTTGTGATGTAACACAAGTAGGCATGGGCCGATTACCGGTTTCAAGGTATACCGCGATTTGAAAATTTCACTGGATAATTCACATTAAAGCAATGTTTCAGCGCAGCTCTGCTTTTTTTACTGCGATAACCAAGGAAACGCTGTATCAGCGCCTCCTGCTGTCAGAGAATGAATCTGCGTCCCATTCAGAGCTGCTGTTTGATTCGTTCAGGCATGTAGTATCATTGCACAAAGCTAGTCAGAACATTCTGTTTTTCCTTCAAATTGGGTTATTATTAAATCTAATTATGCATATGAAATTATACAACTAAATGATATGAAATGATATGTATATGAATTATATAACTAAAATTAAATAACTAATTACAGATGTAGGTTAAACAAAGATGTCTTTATTTTTCTTCTTTTTAGGGCAGCAGTAGCTCTAGCAGCAAATCAACCATCCACATCAAAAGCTGCAGGACAGCCCACAATTCAGAAACGAATCAAAGAAAAAATAAACAAATACTACTGTTCCAAATATTCTGTATGTTGCTCAAAATATATTGTTCAGTTTTTTGTTTTTTTTACCAAGACATTTCAAATTAACACATTTTAGAGCAGTAACAACACGGGAAAGCGTGATATTTTTGCTTAAGGTTATCATACCGTCAAAATCTCATACCGGCCCATGCCTAAACACAAGTAATGGCAGATATTTTCTTCCAATTTGTGATGTACAAAACTGAAACTGATTATGGAAAAGAAAAAAAACGAGACAAGTGAATTGGTTCAGTCCATCAGGTCTTGACTGAATGGAGGCAGAATGGCTGGATTGTAAAAATGGGTGGAGTTTAAGCGGACTCAATGATTGGCCAAATCATTCAAAGGAAGATCAATAACATGCATTTAGAAAACAACAATTAATTTTTGTTTATTTTGAAAATATGTAGTTTTGCACAACCATAAACCACCAAAACCTTTAAATAGCAATGCATGGTTTTCAACTTGAAATCGATATCTTGTCTTGGAAATGAAGTGTGTGGTGGTTTAAGGGTATTATTTAAATGTGGTATAGGACGACAGCTTCTGCAGGGAACTCATTAGCTAGAGCGGAGCTTCATAGCTGGGTTGACGGCGTTGGCGCTCTAGTGTTGCAACAGCTTCAGGAGTATGTGTATAACTCAGAGAATGCAGCAGCTGAGCTTAAGGTCAACGCACATCAGCGTCAGCGACAGACAAAGGGGCGGGATTCCAGACCCGGCCAACAGCCAATCAAGAAGCCTGTCTCTGTGTTAGGGTTAGTAGGAGTAAGACGAGGCAGCGCCAAGCCATTAAATCTTAAAATATGGCAAGGCTGAGAATAGGGACAATAAAATATTGAACAATAGGTAAAGGTGGGACATGATCAAATGGAAAAAAACAACACCTTTTGAATACAGGCTAACTGGCTCTTCACACGGAACTCCACTGTGTGACTTGGTGACCTTGAGTGTCAGTTGAAATAAATGTTGTTTTACAGAGGTCAGATGGCGATTTATGTTTGGGTTTGCTTTCATACAGTGTTGTGTTTAACTACTGATGCAGTGGAGGTTATGCATTATACAGTGACTCCCCAAAAAAAGTATTTGGACATTTAAGGTACACTTATTCTTTACAGTATTTTTGTATTGTCTTAGCATTACATAACAAAAGATCAAACTAAGTGTGATTGATCTAAAAGACAGCACAGGCACACTTTACAAGCGAAACAGTTAGCAAAAAGAAGTTTGTATAGATAAAACAATAGCTACTGTATATTTGTGGTTGTCAGACAGTGGAAACATCATCAGAAAAATTATTTAGTAAGGTGAAATTAATTCTTGGAAAAGTCATCAATTGTTTTCTATTTGGTATTTAAAATTAAATATGCACATTAAATATGAATATTTATTATGGCATTTGAATGGTCGAACAGTGGAACAAGTTTTCATGACTGTATCCTTACGGGTTGGATTGTGTTGTGAATTCTTGTGAATTCAAACTTTCACTTACTTGCACTTTTCACTTACAAAACATAGTGGTGAAATTTTGCACACCTAATTGTTCAGCATTGCAGTTTTCCAGCGTTTATTATTATTTTTGCATCTACATTAGGTGACTGTAGTGAATTTACTCACATCAGCTGAACTTCCAGTTGTGTTGATCATTTTGTGCTCTCTTCATAAATCGTTGATGTCGCCTTTAGCTGTGTCTGTCATTAATGAAACCTGATTTTTAATTGCGTGTGTTGCTGTTGGATTAAATTTTTCTGATACGTCCTGAGGCGTTATTTGTGTTGCTATCAGTTTGATGAAACATTAGATGCCCTTCTAGAGCATGAATCATAAGCTTGAGAAACATGTTTTGTATCGCCCTAATCCATCTTGGGCTTGATGGGGTTTTAGTGCTGTCTCTGTTGATTTTCTCTGTTGATTTTCAAGAAGGGAGCATTTATTCCACTCTTATAGTAGCTCATCATCATCATTAGGATCATCATCATTATTATTGTAATTAACAGCCTAGGCAGTGTGTTCTCTGTCCAGATGGGCCAGCAGGGTGCTCTTATATAATTTGTTGGTATAGATATAGATATATGAGACGTAGATATAGATAGGGCTGGGCGATACAGCTAAAAAATGTATCAACTATATAATGTTTCATATTGTTTGGTATCGATAATTATTGACATTTTTTATAACCTTTTTAAAAACAAAGCGCAATAGATTTTTTTTTTTAATTTAACCACTGTGTTTTTAATTTACCCAATATATTGAGACAAACAAAAAATGTTTTGTTTGTTTTAACAGTCCAACACAAAATAAAATTTAAATGAATATCTCTTTTCTTATGTGTTATATGCAGATTAAATAAGTTTTATGGAAACTTTTGGCTTGTCTCCGAAGGCCACAGGAGGGCGCAATGAGCAAAATAATGCAGCGTATTAAATTGTCAATGCAATGAAATAACTGTCCATAAAAAAACGTGCATAACGTCTAAATTAACATATATAAATCAAATATAATTTCGTAAATTGCATAAACAATTATGAACAAAACAGCATCATGTATTTATGCATTGCATAAATAATTAAAAAAAAAGAGCCGAATCGCCGAACACAGATTGCATTTAAAAACATATATGAGACAGTGAAAAGGAATAAACCTCCACAAATTCACGACATGTTTTCTAAACGTTTAAATTGTTTTAACTGTGCATGGCTTTCTATACATCTCTTGTTTGAGACGTGAGTGCAGCAGTCATATTTGTCCGTCTAAAAAATGCGCTGAATTTGCGTTCTGTGTAAATTGCTTGTTTTCGGTTTTAACCTAATAAGATCTTCTACGCATTGAGCTTCTATATTTCTCTAATATTTTGAATGAATAATGTAGCAGCGGCGCGTCTCGTGGGCTAGACTAACAAAACATTAAAATGCAACAACTTAACTTACATCATCATCACCGCATCTGGTGCTCCACTGATGACGCTCCCTGACGCACACCTAACATTCGACTGTACCATTTTTGCATTCAAATGCAATTATTTTTTGTATTTTAAATTTGACTAATATTAATTTTTTAATTCACAATCTTCTCATCACAGGCAGGCACAGCACTCGTGTTCGTGTTTGTGTGTGCTGTCTGCGTCACTCATAGCACGTGCCTATATCGTGCGCTATATCAAACATTTTTTCTATCGTTATCGATGGAGTATCGTCGATAAATATCGATACCGTTTTATTGCCCAGGCCTAGAGGGCTGAGATGACTTTTCAGAAGAAACTTAGGTTAGATATTAGTAAGGTTTTCACCATCTGAAGCTTAAATCTAATCTGGAGTAAAAGTGAAGGTATACATCTAAACATTGTGTTGAGTCTCTATCTAGCCACCCTCAATTCTGGGCCGCACTGACCCTTTTATTAAGACTGAATGAGATCTAGGACGTTGATTTAGCGCAACTGTGACAAGCTTAATAGACTGTAGTTCCTAATATGGTATTCCCTACCACTAGATGGTAGACATGGAGTACTTCGATTCTAGACCAAAATTACATCACGTTCCTATTCAAAGTGTTCGAGGAAATAGCAGAGCAAGTGAGCTATCGTGTCATTGATGCGGAAGCAGTTCAGCTCATAGCGTGCGAGTAAATTGTGAGATTGAGAGAAAATCGCCAAATGGCTAATAAAAAGTTGTACCGTGAGGATGT